TGCATAGGAGCACATGTACCCCAATGTTCATAGCAGCACTCTCCACAATAGCTAAAACATGGAAAGAGCCTAAGTGTCCATCAACAGATGAATGGATCAAGAAGATGTGGTTTATCTATACCATGGAATACTACATGCAATGAGAAACAATGAAATCTGGCCATGTGTAGCAACATGGATGGACCTTGAGGGTGTTATGCTGAGCGAAATAAGTCAGGCAGAGAAGGACAAATATCATATGTGTGCACTTATAGGAGGACTAGGAGGAACTTAACAGAGGACCAACCGGGAAAAGAAGGGTGGAAATGGTGGGGGAAAGGGAGAGAGGCAAACCATGAGAGACTCTTGAATGCTGACAAAAACTGAGGACTGATGGAGGGGGGGGGAGGAGGGATGGGCATGGAGGAGGGCACTTGTGGGGATGAGCACTGGGTGTTATGTGGAAACTAATTTGACAATAAACTATTTGTAAAAAAAAAAAAAAGAATTATAAAAATAAAAAAAATTAAAAAAAATAAAATAAAATACAAATGTAAAAAAAAAAGTTATCGGTTGTACACCTTAAGTATGTGCAGTTTATTGGATATCAATTCTACCTTAGTAAAATTTTATTAAGCTAAATACATTTAAACGTATATTGGGAAAATAACTTCAATTGAAATATAAAAGGGAATTAACATTTATTAGAAGCATACTAAGGGGCAAGTACTAGGTAGGTGCTTTAAGTAAGAATTAAGGTATATGTAAATATATCATTTTCTATATGCATGTTAAATGCATTAAGGTGTTGGAGCCACCTGGATTGCTTAGTTGGTTGAGCCACTTACTCTTGATTTCGGCTCAGATCATGATCTCAGGGTCATGGATCAAGCCTCATGTTGGGCTCGGAGCCTGCTTAAGATTCTCTCTCCCTCTACCCCTTTCCCCCATTCCTGTGCTCGCTCTCTCTCAAATAGAAAAAAAAAATAATATACTAAGGTGTTAAGTCCTCACAATGCTTTGAGGTATAGGGACTATTATTATCTTTATTATACAGATGAGGAAAATGAGGCATTAAGTCTCACAACTTCTGAGTGAGGGAGCTGAGATTTGAACCTGGAAAGTCTTATTTTAATAGATCTTCATGACATCAATTAGGCGGTAGAGTTTTAGTTACAGTTTACAAAATGAAAGAACTGTGACTCACAAAGGCAGCAAATTTTCCAGAGTTACAGAATTTGTAAGTTAGGTCAAGATTTAAACTCAAATTTGTTTTATTCCAGAATATATACTCTTCTATACTAGATTGCTTCCATTTAGATTTGTGGTTAAATAGCAGGACTGATGCTATAATTCTACTGATAACTAATAGCTCAGACTATGATCCACTTCTCCCGTAGCCTTTTTACCACTCAATGTGTTGTCTGGCATGTTTGTTGACTATAGGTTAGAAGTTATATATAGATATATAGCATCAATAATCAAAAACTATTTATTGCTTTGTCTTGACAATCCCATTTTCAATATTCATAGTGTAGCTGTTTCTCTTGAAACTAAGAAATTCAATGTGTGACTTTGAAGGATCTTTTCAGGCTAATATTAAAGCTAGTAACTTGTCAATGCACTTCTATAAGTAGAATTAAACAGATGTGTTCCTATATCCCTAAAATTGAATTGGAGGAATTTTTTGCTTTTCCATGAAATCTTCCTTTCCTGTGAGCGTGTGTGTGTGTGTGTGTGTGTGTGTGTGTTTTAGATTATGGTTACTAGTGTAGGAGATATGCCCATTTAATTCAAAGGTCTTAAGTGTCAAGTTTGTATTCTAGGCGATTGTGTTATGCTGCATTGCATTACATTGCCTTGCCTTGTATTGCATTACAGCCTTTTGGTATTTTCCTTAGTCCCCTTCATGTCTTACCCCTTTTCCCACTAGCTTATACATAACATAAAACACTTTTCATCAAACACTCTGTAGAGAAGTATTGCTAGGTGAATAAGGAACATCTGATTGACTAAAAAAAAGGGGGATATAAATAGAATCTCCTTTCCTTTCAGTGATTCCACCTAGAAGGAAAGGAGAAGAGCAGAACCTTCAGGAATTGAATCACAACCTAGACATCTACTGAATGGGAGAGTGTTGCTAGGAAGACACTGATTATATAATAACCAATGGAAAGATAAAAGGAGACATAAAATTCAACGTTTTGCTTTCTTTCCCTTTTTGCTTTTCACCCACTTCAGTTGGGAATCTTTATGTATGCAGTATTTATTTTGTTTGTGTTATCCCGGTCATTATAAAGTTATCTAGGAGACTAGGAGAGCTGACCAACAGATGGGAAAAAAGCAGTTTGTTCTGACTGCAGTGACCAAAGGAGTTCAATGCACCAAACATCTTTCTCCCATTTAGAAAACATCCTAGCGTTTAAGGCCTTCTACTACAAGCCCATTACTAGTTCTTTTCCTTTCTCTTTCATTTCTCTCTACTCTCATATTTGTGTTGTCTGTTCTTATTCAAGTATCATGCCTGGGAAATGAAATGCCTGTGGCTGCTCTGCAATAGTTTTGTGGATTGCTCTATCCTCATTGCTGTCAACAGTGCCTAGCACATGGCACATAGTGAGAACTCAATAAATATTTGCTGAATGAATGAATGGTTACCTTTTCTCTCTGGCAATCCAAATCCATTACCACTTTAAAAACTCTACATGAAATTTACCCTTTCCAGTGAACCTCTATCCATTATCAATCTAGTTTTAAATCACTTCATTTTCCACATCCCCTTAGCAATTATTTATAGTCTGCATTTGATTAATATACTTACTATGTTTCTTCTCAGACACTCCCACATCCTTTTTACATGCTAGATTTTCAATTAAAGTACATCAAATTTTATATATTGTATATGCTGCTCAACAGTGCCTCATGTGCGGTAGAAAGCTAGACACTCAATAGATGGGCAGTCTACCTCCTTTTAAGACATTCTGTAAGTCATGGTGATCTTCCTTGAATAGGAGTTTAGATATATAGATAAGTTCTATTTTTTGCTATTTCACTGTATATTGTGTGATTTTGAGTAAAACCATTCCTTCAGTGCTTAGTTTAAGAATAAATTAAGAAACAGTTTCCAAAGCAAAAACATCTTAAAGTTATAGAAGAATCTACATATTGGTACATTTCTCCAGAAATACTTAATGTAATATAAAAGTTCTGGCTGGTCGGGGCACCTGGGTGGCTCAGTTGGTTAAGCATCTGACTTCAGCTCAGGTCATGATCTCATGGTTCATGAGTTCAAGCCCCACATTGGGCTCACTGCTGTCAGCACAGAGCCTGCTTTGGATTCTCTGTCTCCCCCCCCCCCCCC